ACTAGACATTGTCTGGCTATAAACATTCTGCCAACCTCACTGCTCACTTTCATGACCTTAAGCAAGTCAATGTTTATGACACACATGGCCCTGAACTGGGGATTCTGAACCCTGTCCCTTGACCAAACATATTATGTACCAGTCATCCCAGCTGTAGGTCCCTTGAAAGCTAGGCCAAAGATGTACACTTCTCTTTACGCTTCCTACTGTTCAGAAAGAGAGCACATGATGATTCTATTAAATTTCTAATTATCTTAAAAGTTTCCTTACCTCAGAAATTTCTTCTCATTACTCTTGGCATACTCATCCTTTAAATTTCATCTAAGTATTTCATAAAATTCCCTCAGAGCTTATGGAGAAAAAATCAACTGTGATAAACTACCAACTGAATTTTCCTACTGAATAATTGATAACTGGATGCTCTGGTTTAAAAAAATTCTATCAAACATTTATAAATTTGCAATTTAAAAGTTAGTTGGCATAATCTCAAAAAAGCACATATTATGTTGATGTATGTTAAACTATCATGAATGTCACCAGCAATAAAAATGATAGCAAAAGAGGCTTAATAATTCAAGGCAATTTAGAATACATTAATATCCATTGTGTCATTGTTTTTCATTGTTTTTATTTTCAGTATCTGCTTTAATTTTGTGAGAGCCCATTATTGGCTGCAAAATCAAGGTTTTTTTTTTCAAATTTAATTTTACACACTAAGATAAAATTGTTTATATTAATAGGTACCCATGTATGTAAACACATTTAGAAACATTCTGCCTCTCTCTCTCTCTCTCTCCCCTTCAGACAAACAAGGGTTTAGCCTATTTACAATTCTCTCTTACTTTCTTTCTTTCTTCATTCAACAAGTATTTATGGAATTCTTCTTATATATTGGATTCTATACTAGGCATTTGGTTTACAAAAGGGAGCAAAAAATAAACATTCTCCTTGTCCTTGTGTCTCCGTGATAAATCACGGAAATATTTAATATTTGCAAAAGTGTCACACAAAGATTATAATTGATTTTAAGATAACTTTATTGGACAATGTTCATGGGGTAGCAGAAATTTGCTTCTTCTCATTAGGACATGACTTCTTATGTAGGTGATAAAAGCCAGGGTTTGAAAAATGAATAGGCTTCAAATAAGGCAGTTTGAGAGAATTATGTCCAGGAGGGAGGACACCTATGAAGTCCCTGTGCAAAGGAGGGCCAATGTGGCTCAAATGGAGAAAATGGGTGTAAGGATGATATGACTCAGAGCTGGAAAAGCTTTTAATTTAATCCCTTATGGACCACTTAAGGATGTGGGTCTTTACCTGAAGGAGGGAAAGAAGAGAAAAAAGTTGTTTGAGCTGTGAGAGTGGGAATATGAGAAGGATGTTGGTAGTGATAATCAAATGTATCACGAAGGTCACGCAGCCAGCCTGCAGCATGGAGAACAGATTGGCAGGTTCCTGTGGGGTTGAGAGTTCACTACTTTAAAGAGGAACTGCTGTACCTGTAGTTTGAACCTAGACAGTGTTTGTGAATTGGAGAAAAGTAAATTGACTTGAGGCATCTTTGAGAGTAAAATAAAAGTAAAATCTGTATATAGTAATTGATATTACTATATACAGATTGAGATATACAGATATCTCAATATACAGATTGAGAAAAGGTTTAAGGATGACTATTAGGTTAATGGTTTTAATTGCTGGATGGATAATTATGTCATTGACTCCTATGATAAAAAGAAATAAGAATGACTAGAAGAGGAATGTGTTCAGTTTAGACCTGGGAAGTGTGCAGCCACTTTTATAGATTTAGGAGGAGATGCCAAGCATAATTTTGAATGTTTTAGAACTCATTCAAGTGTCTGGGGCTGTGAATTAGAAGATCTCAATATATGAGTGGTAAATGAAACCATAGATGTGTAACACACCTAGGGAGAGAATATAAAATAAAAGAGGATTGTAAACGACAAAATAAATCAAAACCGGCCAAACTTCACTGGTGTCATGAGCTAGCATTATGAGCAGGATACATTTAAAGAAAAAAGTATTCATCTGAATAATCTCTACATGACCAATTTATATGGAGATTTGGTCAATTTTCTTGGCAATTTGAACAATGGTGATGACATGCAGTTTTGGTAGGTCCTAACTTTTTCTCCTTCATCTACAAAAGTTTACTTATATATATGATCCTGAAAATGGATCCTGGTAGTTATTTTGCAATTTGTATGCCATTAGAATAAAATAGAACTATCCTTTTGACAAATGATGTCATAGAAAGCACAAATCATAAATGTTTTAATGGAAAAGAATTACTTTGTCAAACTTAGCAAAATCTTAAAGTCATAGTGTATTATTCAAATAGCTTTTTTAAAAAAGTTATCGCA